ATTCTTTGCAGAAGATTGAGTCATTTTTAGTTGGTAGACGACTAAGGCTGCTGTTTCTGCTTTAACTACCTTCAATACAATTAAAATAGATTGTTATGATTGCTGAAGAGGAGGCACCGGTTGTTTAACCACTTGAGCTCGACGGTCTCCTAAATTCAGCAGAAAGAATCCAGCCAATGGTGATAAAACATGACCAGTTTATGAACATCCGTGTAATGAGAAAAGGCTCCTCTACAGGATGTGAACATTTTCTTTGCCAATAAAATCCCATTTCGATTCTAAGCAACTGAGCGGAAAAAGAAAGATAATTTTTTTCAAAATAATCGTGGCTTCTATCTGAACACAGAGCCTCTGTGGTGAGATAAAAGTTGATAAAATGAGTCAAAATGGCTCCTTCAGAGAGCCGTTTGGATTTATCACCTATAATCCCCTTAAAAGATTTATGTTTTACAATTTATGCATGAAATATAGTACAGCAGTTGCTCAGGTGCTGCATTATGGTTTCCTAGAGGACTTGGATTGCAACCATCAAAGAAATATTAAATCCCAAAGTCCATTTTAGATGATTATTTTGCTGTTTCATCTCCATCGACTCTTAATAACAGTGTGGAGTTAAAAAAAAACATATTAGTTGCTAAAATGTGTTGAATTAATGATGTTTTCAAGCAGATTTACTTAAAAGAGGCATAGAGAAGAAGAGGCTAAGCTTAGATCCTTTATCATATGTTCCTGCTGTGTTTCTGGGAGAGTTTCTGCTGCAGGTCAAGGTGAAGAAAAGAGTAAATCTCCCGATTTAGCATTAGGTCTAACCCTCAGCTGTAATACAGATCAACATAATCAGATCTCTGATGCCTGAGGTGTTCCTCTGCAGGATGACCTCCTCCTGGAGAAGAGGGGCGGAGGACGACAATGGACCTTCAGAAAAGTAAAAAATATTGAACTAATTATTCTTCCAGCATCCAAAGATCGATCTCCTTCCTCTGCAGAGGGAACCGAGTCACGTTGCCTAAGTTAATGATGTCTATAGTCGCCTTCCTGCTTCAATAAAAAAAGAAATGAGCTAATTAACTGAAGTGAAGTTTTAATTTGCCGCATTCTCCCACTCTGACTCCCACTCTTTCTTTTTTAGATCCATTTGTTACATAACTGCAAACTATTTTTTACATTCTCACGCATTGGAGGAACAGAAAGTAGTTGTGATAATCAGAACCCCTCGTCTCTCCCCCCATATTGGTTTGAGTTGATGCTGCGGTCCAACGAATGGCTTCAGTCTGGATTTAAGTTTTCATTTCCATCCTGCACCAGCAGCTGCTGTAAAATCTGCCTGTTAAATATTTTATGCTCCCACCCTGAGTCATTCTGTTGTACAGTTCAATATTCTTCTTCTGAGTCGTTTACAGATGTCCTGACTAGGGGTGTAAATAATAATCGTTTTGTATTGATGCATCGATCCAACAGCCGATGATCCGATGGATCGGCACGTCCGCAAGAATATCGATTCATCTTTTTCCTCACTCCGGTCTATTTTTATCCATTTGCTCCCGGACGTAAGTCTGACTCCGTGCTGCGATGGCGCTTAACCTATTTTGCCCTCCTACCTCGCTTCCTTTAGCCACTATCCTCTTGCAAGGCCTTTCAGAATCTAGAAAACATGGGAATTATTATTTTTCAGTGGAGTACAACTTTGCTACTTCTGTTATTTGCTGTTTCTCAAATACAATGCATAAAAATATTAAATCTTTCATTGATTTATTTCAAATTTGAAACATTGTCTAGCCTGTAAGGTAAAAAGAAAAATATTAACCAATTAAGCGAATCGAATCGTGGTGCATTCTTGTGTATCGAAAATAATCGAATAATCGAACCGTTGGGTGTGATTTACACCCCTAGTCCTGACCCACATGACCAAACCACAGCAGACAGGAACAGACACAGAAGGAGGACTGAAAGGGAGAACTTTAACAGGAAAGGAGCTCTGCTATGAAAGCATGGATGCTAAGAGGAAGTTATGAAGCGACACCCTGTGATGGTTACATGTAACTGCAAAGGATAGAGATGAAAACACTGTAAGACTTCCAGACCTATGAAGGTAGATTTGTTTCTTTGTTATTCAATTAAAGAATGGTTGCTTCAATCAAAAAATATATTTTCAATTAAAAACACATTCAATTCAATGAAAAAAAAACAACAAAAACTTTTCAATCAAAGAAAAAAAATATTTGTACCTGACCAGTTTTTATTTTAAATGAAAATATATATTTTTTAATTGAATGATTAAGACACAAATGTCCTACCAATGTAAGTCCCTAACACAAATGATTGCTTCTATCGAAAAAAAAAAAAAAAAATTCAATAAAAAAAGAAAGTGTTCAAATGCAATTTTTTAACTCAATATTTTATTTGCATTCAAAAACTATTTTCTATGATTGAAAACGTTTATCTTTTCATTGAAGTGACTTTTTTTATTGATTGTGTTTGTTTGTTTAAAGCAACTTCTTTTTAGATTGAATGATAAAGACACAAATGACCTACCTATTATATGGTTCAATCTAAAAACAATGTTACTTCAATTGAAAAAGTTGATTTAAACTAAAAAAACAGATTTCTATCAAAGAAAAGCAGTGTTCAACTGTATTTTTTATTTTTTTATCTCAGCTATATTTTTGGAAATAATTTTTTTCTTTGAAGTTTTTTTTTAATTGAAGTGAAGTTGTTTTTAATTGAAAATATATTTTTTGATTGAAGCAACATTTTTTTTTTTTTATTGAATACTAAAGAAACAAATCTACCTTCATACAGACCCGTCTAATTCTGAAGATTCATGCAGCAGATTGATGGGAAAAAAAACAGACTGTGTCAGATCCAGAGGTCCTGTTCCTCTTCATGAAAAGAATGCCTTCCATCAAGACCTGGAGAGTCGGAGAGACAGGAAGGAGAGGAGGTCCCTGCTGAAGCCATGAACTGGTGTGACCTGGATGATGGATGGGTGGAGGACTTTGCTTCAACCCTACTATTAAGATTTAAACCCTCAAACCTTGAATTCCACCTCAGCTTCTTTCTATAAAATCAAGTAACTCAAAATATAAATCTTGTTCCAGCCAGTCCCGCCTGCCCCTATGGACCTGTGGTCTGATTACACGTTCGCTCATCATCTATGGAGTTAATTTTGCTCCATTATTGTCCTAAGCACCTGAATGGAATTTTGAAAAAACACAAATTCAATCCAGAATTTGAATGGAAAAGATTCGTAATAAAAGAAGAAAAGGTTTTTAGTGTAACTTTTTTTGTTTTCTTAGATTTTGTATTGTTTTACAGATATTTCCTTCACTAAGGGCAAGCTTTCCTCCGGGGTAAGGAACAAAGCTGCATTTGTATTGGTCTGCTGGATGGAAGCAACATTTTTATTGGTCAAGAAGGAGAATTTGGATTGGATTTAAGTGAATTGAATCTAATCTGTAAAACACAATTTAAAGACAAGGCAATTAGGATTCAATCTAAACAAGAAATAAAATTTGCAAGAAATTTCTGACAAAATAAAATTAAAAAAATGATAATTTTGTAAAACAGTAAAGTTCCTCACAGCCTTCTTCTAATTAAGAAGGTTTTTAAAGTTTTATTTCCCTCAATTTTTTATTTCCATAACAGGATCTGTTTTTGCAACAATACTGGACCAAAATAAACTCCATAGCCTTCCTCCAAGTAAAGGCTGCCCTCTTCTGGACAAACACTACAGTGCAAGTTCTGAAATGCTATTTAAACTATATTTTCATAGTATTGGTGCATTTTTAACCCCAAATGTTAGTAAAAAAAAAAAAAAAAAAAATAGAGTTTTTGGGAAATCTTAACCCGTTACTGAGAAAAGCCATAAAAAGAACTGGAAAAAAAAAGAAAGCAAAACAATGACAACTTAAAATGAATTCGAGTTAAACATTGAATAACTCAAAAAAACACTCTGGACTCCTCATTCAGTTTCATTACCAGAATATTTATTTTATTCTTTTTTTTTTTTTCCTATTAAAACACTAGCTGCCATATTTGATAAAACAGCCAACGGCTAAGTCCTCCAATCAAAACTCCTCAGACAGGTCACAGGGTCTGTGGGCGTGTCCTTGGCTTGCTGCTCCTGGCATGACCAAGCTGTTGTCATGGCGATCGACATAACAGGAAGTCTCGTATTGCATCATTCAGAGGCCGGGGGAAAATTTCTTTAGCTCTGCCGCCTTGTTATGAATATATATTCAGAATAAATATACATAACAGCACAGTGGCACCTCCTGGAGGGAAGTAAAGGTAACTGAATGGGAAATATAGTGATTATTATTGTAGTGAAAGGAACCTTAGAGAAAAGCTTTGGATGTTTGGTTTTCTTGCAGAATCTGAGTTCAGTTTTCTTTCCATCCACTAATTACAGCCGGCTGTAAATTAGCTGAGCAGGAAGGCAGGCAGAAGCAGCTACTCTGACTCCAAAAACACGAAAGCCTTCTAAATTAGCACCTCATACTTTTTTAAGCTGCTCTAAAAAGGTAAAAATCACAAAGTTCTTTCGGCTTAAATGGCCCCAAACCAAGAAAATCAGACTTAAAGCTGCCATCACTTATCCATCTGCTGAGAGACGCTTCCTACTGGTTTCCAGGTTCACTGTAAAAGCTCTAAAAATGAACATCCACGCTTCAGCAAGAAAACCAAAGTCACCTTCGTGTGTAAGGAGATGAGGAATGTAGCAGGGGATCGAAAACAGGAGGAATGAAATAAAAAGAAATAAGACTTTAAATTGATCTGATGTTTGGATAAAATAGGAGAAAGTGAAAGAAAGGGCGGGGCTAACCCTGACCAGGAGAACAGCTTCAGCTCAGATTCATCCTGATCTAGGAGCTTCCTTTAAAACTAAACAGCTTTAAATCAACAAATGTCAACAAATGAGAATAACCGGTTTAAACCTGCGCCGCCTTGACTGCTCTACATGTTCTCTTCAATCAGCTTTAACCAGGAAACGTTTTATGCCTCCATTTTATAGAAGTTGTTCATTCTTGGCACATTTAAACAACCCATAAAACTAAAATGAACATAATAAATGAATTAAACTAAACTTCTAGCTGTGCCATTATGCACTTTAAGCCTTTTTTTTTCTTAGTCTTACTTTCCCCCCCTCTTTTTTTTTTACTTTTTAAATCGTTTAAAAGAATCCCAAACTTTGGCATAAACGGGAAGGAAGATCAAAACCTCCATTTAATATCTTTTTCTCAGTAAACGATGCCAAAATGTAGCCGCTGAGGCCGTTTAAACGGCTGGTTGACAGAAAAGTGTTTGAGAGTGAAGGAGAACATCTGTAAATTCTACGTAGGAACCCTGAGTTTCTCACTTCTAACCCGCATTTATACATTTCTCTGACTGGGTTACAACGGATATGATGTCAAGCTGAAATGCCTTAACGTTCATTTAGCTAAATCAGAATTTGGGAGATTCACATTTTTACTAAACAGCTGAAAAAGTGTTTATTCATCCAACTGATTTGGGTTCTACCATATGATTTGTTGACAATAAAAAGAAAGTTCTTTTTTATTAATGTTAGCGAGATTTACCTACAGGATGAGAATAACTGATTTGCTAAAGAACCTGTTTCAGGTGTCAAGAACCGAACCGGATCCAAATAAATGTTTCTAAATTCACTAGATAACATCAAGAAAACAGAAAAAATATATAGTTTTCTCTTTTATTATGAAATAGTGCTACAATGTACATTGCATTTTTTCTCCTGATTGCCCACAGTGTGGTGATGTGTGTCCTGATCTGTATTTCTGGTGAAAATGAAAAATATTTCAGCTTGTTCTGCATCAGAGCCAAATAAGTATCCATCTGACGGGCGAATTAACCCGGTTTTCTGTTAAAATCTGGTTCTTCATAAAAGCCTCCTTAGAAAACAACAGTCGGGTTTTCAGATGATTGAAGGAAGGAATCAGTCGAGCAGATGGATAGTTATTAAAAGCTCCCCTCTCTGTCTGGGTTTCACTCATCAGACCAAAGCAACGTATGGAGGAGAATAAAATGAAAATAAAAATGAGGTAAAAGGACAAACATAAAAGAGAAAAACGTTAAAATGATGAAGTCTGTCAGAGACGCCGGGACCGTCCTGAGTCCTCACGGGCCAGATTCATTAGAGAGTGCAGAGGTGGGAAAACCTGGAGGGGCGGGGACTGATGAGCCAGGAGGGCCAATGGCAGGCAGGCAGGCAGGAGAGGAGAGCCAATCAGAAGGCCTGCTGGGCAGGATTGTAGTTGAAAGTGGAGGGAACGTGGGGTCGCTCTTCTAGTTTGTCATATTCAAGATGAAACTCCTGGAAACAAAGAGTGAAAATTACTGATGGTACAACAATCCGGCGGGTCTGTAAAAAAAAAAAAAAAAAAAAATAGTTCTAAAAAGTTAACTTGGACAAAAAGGAAAAATAAAGCTGATCAATCAGCAGGACCTTACAGAGTACCTGCACAATACTTTTAAAAATTCCAAACATACCTACAGGGTGACCAGGGGGTAAAACCGAGTAGTATTATAGAGTATTTTATAAGTTACTTCATAGGTACTGATGGGGTTTATAAGACATGCTAACAGGATATCTAAAAGGCAGCAGTGAATTAAATAAAAAAGTATGTTACACAATACCTACAAGTGTGAATAAAGTAATCCTCAATAATCAAGTAACTAGAGTACATGAACAGGAAATTAAAGGTACTTAATGAGGTCCTTAAAAGGTACCCATGGATACCCACAAGGAACTGAATTTGGGGAAACCTCCCAAGTACTCTCAAAGTACCTACAGGTTACTTTAAGTATTCTTATTGGATACTTACAGGGTACCTAAAGGTTGATACTAGGATCTGTAAAAGGAATACTCATAGGGACATGTCTGGGACACCAATTCCCATACTGGGAAGTCTTAAGGGTATTCCCAGGAAAACATGCGGTATTACAGAGTATGTAATGTTAACTAAGTACAGGGAAGTAACAGGATACCAGCAAGACATTTATGTTGCATCTATACGGAGTCTGCTTTTTCTCAATTATTGTTTCAAGTGAAGGAAACTTTTAAGCAGAAATAATAAAATAAAAGATAGAGAACTTTAAAAATACTTTAACCAAGAATATTTTTAGACAAACTTTCCTGTTTTCTCAAATGTTTTTATTTTATTATTTTTTTTTACAGATTTTTTATTTTCGATTTTTTTCAGATTTTTCAAATAAATTTTTTCCTCTTTTGAAAAAACAAACAAACAAAAAACACAAGACAAATAAATGTGCTTCTTTTTTTTCCAAGCTGAGAAAACTGCAAAGTTAGTCTGAAAATAATTTTTTTTTATTAAACATTTTTAAAGTTGTCATTCCTGGGTTTGTTTTTTTTTTTAATTCAGTTTATAAAAAGCTTTTTTTTCTGCAAGAATAATAACAAAAAATTCACTCTATACATCTTTAAGAGCAGGGCTAAAAAATGTCGCCAAAGATGTAAATAACAAACCTACTTTAAGCGTATTAGCGCCACCTAAAGGACTGGAGTGAGAAAGTCAGCGTCTTACTCTTGTTAAATATAATTGGACCCAAAGTTGAGCCTCTCTGTTAAGCCTCTGTCACACCTTGTCTCTGTTTTTTTTTTTTTATTTACATATACATAGAGTAATGAGTCCAGAGCGTATGTCTAACGACAGCCTAACTTATGCATAACGCACGGCAGCGTAATGCCCATTAAAATGATGCACAAGCCAGTTTCCTAAGGGGGGCAGCGATGCACCCGGAGGTGCCCAGCCTGCATAAAAATATTTATTTGATTGTGGTATTAACGTAGCTGCTGTTTACCACTCACCCCCAAAAAAAAAATATATATATAAATAAAAAAAAAAATAAACGAAAGAGAAAGAAAGAAGGTTTGCAGTCGCAGCAGATTCAGCGTCATGTCCAATAGGAAGTTTGTTGGTCGTTGGCGTGAACGCAGGGAGGATCCATCACTCTCACTCTCACTCTGACAGATACCAAAAAGCTGCCAATACGCCATTATACAGTATCTGTAACTTAGAAACACGTTCAGCTGTCATCAGGAACGCCTCAGATACGTTGATATTTGTTCAGATAACTTACTTGTAGCTTATGAGCATACGCAGGCATAAACTTAAAGCATGCTTAAAATTTCCCAACATACTCACCGTATGTCGATGTGTTTCAGCGTGCTCATAACTTACACAAAACATACCCATAACTTATCCAATGGATGCCAGCATTTTTGCCAGATTTTTCATACATCAGGCATATGCTGTCTAAATCGTCAAGGTGTGACAGGAGCTTAATATGAAAATTGTTTTTCTACAGGGCAAGCAACCCTTAGATTTCTATGATTTCCATACATCCTTCAGGGACAGTGTGCTGCACTTTACAGATCTGTCCCAGGTCCAAGACACCTGAATCAAACAGCTGAATATCATCTTTACCATACAGTCGAGTTCTGATTATTCGCTTCATGTGTGTTAAAGCATCTAAAACACCTAAAAGTTGCAGGATAGCAGCCCTGGAGGATTGGAGTTTGACACGTGTGCTTTAAATAACAGCTCGAAAATGTACACAGGTTACTAAGGAACTACTTAAATGGTAAATAAACTTCCAGACTATTTATTTTTCATGTGGTGTAAAGTTCTGTAAGTTGGAGCATTAGTGCAGTAATGCACCTCTAAGGTTCCTACAGGGTTTTTTCTAAGCCAAATGGCACAATATTAAGTCAAATGGCTCCTCTTAGCCTGGAAGAACCCTGTAGGAGCCACCTATGTACCGCTCTGCGTCGCTACAGCGTCTCACAGACATCTGAACTCCTTAGTGAGTTTGTTCACCTTAGCCACCTTCCTCCAGTTGAGACAATCGAAGAAGTAGTAGGTCCCTCTTTCGTAGGCGTTGGTTTTTAACGTGGGCTCCATTCCAGGGGCCCGTGTTATCCAAACCCGCTCCTCTTTATGATACCTCCAGTCCCGATTAAAACTGGACACAGAAACACAGGCGTATGGATGAGTTGAGGGTAAGATGCTGAAAGCGGTGCGGATTAAAGCCCTGCAGGTCGGCCTTACAGTTCTACTGCAGCCAGGAGTTGTAGCAGGTCTCCTCCGTTCATGTAGTAGAGATAAAACAGCAGATCTTCACCGTACCGAGACAACTTAATGGCTGCTAACTGCAGAGAGCCAAACATACAGAAAAGGGAGGTTAGAAGCAAAGGAGGGATGCATTAAAGTCAAATTAAAATATATTCAGCAGGTGTTAGCTTCTTAATGACTGTTTTGAATAATGAAGCACAGCTGTTCTTGCTCCGTACCTTGTCCCTTATGTGGATGTTGGTTAGGTACTCTGAGGGGACGTGGAAGTCTGCAGAGATAAAGACATAAAAGAGCAGAACATTTTAGCTAAACTAAAATCAAAATTAAAAAATCTAACAGCTGGTAAACTCTGCCTCTGAGGGAGAAATCTGCTCTCCTCACTGACAGCAATTAAATCCTTTTAATGTAAACTCAGTGTTGATATGATCACAGGGTTGGTGTGACAGAAACTCACCGATGTCCTGCGGCCGACAAGGCGCCGACGCCCACGGAGACGCAAACTTAGGGTAGAGGTTCCTGACAGGAAATGACAACGTGTTAGAGGTCACTGTTTCAATCATTGCATACATTTAGCCCCAATATTTTCATTCCAACAAATTATATTTATATCAGCAGAGTTTCGCTTTGTTTCATTTCAGGAATACAAATCTCAAAAGCGTGGCACGCTTTTTAATTCAGCTTAGATGTCACCTGATAATTTCACAGAGTCTACCTGCAGGATTTAAACATGTATTCATTTTCCAATATGGCTGCCTTGCGTAGAAAATCATTTTCTTCTATTCTATTTTTGTAGCATTTCTCTTGGCTGCGCTGCTTCCATTAAATCTACATGGTTGCTATATTTTCTGTCCAATCAGATCTAAACCTTAGTCTGTTGAAGGCTTTCTTTAACAAATCAGATTTTAGATTAGCTCCACTGGGCCAGCTAGCTGGCCGCCCTAACATCACCATGTTAGTTATTACAGCAAAAATGTTTACATCCAAGTTAAGCTAGCGACAATCTGCATTTTAAATTCGCTTTTGTTAAAAGTTTTTCTGGCCTTAATGGCCGATAATAAACAGAGACACAAAGACTTGCTGCAGAAAGACAGAAGGATAGATTTTCTTTATAAATAATCAGCATCTTTGATGAGTGTGATTTTTTTTTTTTCATGCTTTATGCTCCGTCTTATCTGGTAATTAAATTCATATTAAATCTGAACGGCTACTGCTGATGTAAATGTGGCGGAGCTGTGGTTATAGAGGATTGCTGTTGTCTTAAATTGGCTTCTAGCTTAATTGATCTCGTTTATACCTGCGTTTGTTACATTTCATACTTGAATACTAATGGTGGTTTCTTTTATTAAAATGTGAAAGTGTTGATAATAACCCCTTGTCTGTATGATAGCATGTGCATTCCCTCAGTGCCAGTTATTACATTCAGTGAACAGGAACCTTTGGCAAGTTCTTGTTTCTGTTAAAACTGGTCCCTAACAGTTATATGTTATATAAATTTGATGCACCGCCCACCACCATGCGTCTAGCATGGGAATCCAATGCCATCCTATTTTTATGTCGGTTCCTGTGAGTTTTAGGGTATTGAATCCGGAATGGCACCTGAGATCTGCAGCACGCTCCAAACACATACTTTCCTTTCCATTTTTCCTCTTTTCTTTCAGCCTTCTGGGCTCAGTGGTTGGTACCGTTTCATTTGTAGTTTTTAACTGGGCTCTTCTTTGTGCTGTTCTGTAACTGAGCTCATCAACTATATGGAGGTAACTTTGTTCCATTATTGTTGCAAGAGATGAACACATATTCTGAATGAAGACGGAAAAAATGAAGATTGAAAAAAACAAAAAAACATGTGTATGTAGAAATAAAAAAATAATTGTTTGGTAAAATGACAAAAAAAAAGTTTTTGAATGGAAATCTGGAAAAAACCCTCCTTCACATGTAGGGGACCAAAGCCTCTTTGGACCCTCTCTAACGGCTCTTTATAGATGCTAAAATTGACATAAAGAAACAACTAATGGACTATAATAACAAATCCCAGACTTATAAGCATTAGTGTTTTTTTAAAGGATATTGGAATTGAGTTCACAAGAGAATGATTTTAAAAGCACCAGAAATGTGTTTTTAAACTATTTTTCTTTTAATTAGTTTGGAAATTATGTTTTTCTACTATCTTTATTCATAAATCAATTAATATTCTATAGAAGAAAATCTATTTTGCATCTTATGAATCAGTTTGTTTTTCTTCATTTTAAAAACTAAAATACAACCAGTTGGTTGTTTAAAATGGCGACACATTTCCTGCGGCAGATATTTATTAAAAACAACAGTTTGTGTTTAACTAAAAGCCTCAAACCTTCTTTAGAACGGGACCATTGTGGGTCTGAGGTTTTTAATCTCCTGTCTGTGTGCTCCTTGTTTTGGCAGTAGAGTGAGGACCATTTCTCTGATCTCACCATAGAAGTGAGGACATTTTGCTAACAGTTAGGTTTAAGACTAAGGCATGAATTAAGTTTAGGTTCACTTTAGGAAAGTCAATGGTCCTCACTACATATAGCAAAGTGAGGACGTGTGTGTGAGCCCGTCTTACTCAGGCGAGTTGAGGTTCAGGCCGAGCGTCGTCAGGTCTGAGCCCAGTGCCAGGTGGACCATGCCAGGATCCGTCTCTGCCGCCCGGATAAACGTCAACAAGCCGATCATCCCGAACTGGTCCGTTACCATGCCGACGGGAATGTTGGTCACCCGGCCTAAGACACAGAGTTTAAGGGCAGCTTTAGGGCTCATCCGGGTAGAGTGGGTGTAAACAAACCTGATCTGTATTCTTCAGCTATGATCACAAACATCAACCTCAGAAACAAACCAGTCAGAACTTACCATCAGGAAGCACCTGAATCCCTTTCTTCTGCTGGTTGTTGTTGCTGGGAGCAGAGCTCTTATCGCCAGGAAACTTCGGACCGTCGACACTGGAGGAGGCCTTCCCCGATGAGTTCAGGTTCTGCTTAGAACAAGCAGGAAGAAGAAACTCAGGCAAACCCAGATGTTTAAAGGGAGAAAACGTGAAGCCCGGGTTAACCCTCATGAACCCAACTTTATCAAAAACAGGTTCCGGACCGTTTTGTCGTCGTTGTTGCTGCTGGCGTCTTTTGTTTGGTAGTTTGGCCCTGGGAGAGCTGGGAAGTCCTCGTTATGGATCGAGAAGTCCTGTGACTGTTCACTGGATGGCTTGGTTACCATGCCAACTAGGAATCAAAAACAGGAAGAGATCCGTAATCAGATGAACAGTTAATCATCAATCAAAAAACGCTTTACTTTCATTGCTGCTTTGCTAAAGCTTCAACAACCTAAAGCAGATGTTAATTTCTACTTTTCCAGGGAGGGAAACCAGACTAGGTTCAGTTCTGTTGAATTCTGCTCTTCTATTCAGAGTTTCAAAAGATTTTACAATTTTTAAGGATTTTATTTAAAGTCCTAAATAATTAAATTACTAAAAACCTGCTTGAATAAATTTTTACCTTCATAAAATATGTAAAATATATTCATTCATTCACACATCTGTGCTAATGCCAAATGTTTGGAAATGTTTTGTAAAGTAACAGACTGCTCATATAACGGATCAATGATGATCTGCAGATGGTGGCAGTGGGAAACAACCAGATTCTGGTGGCACCGAACATCTTTAAAAAAACCCTCAGCTTCATGCCGCCAACAGACACTGACTAAAAATGTAGCTCTTGGTAGCGCTGGATGATAAAATGGATTTTTACCATTACCACCATTCACTACTATAACCCGCACAAATTTTCCCATGCTGGTGAATTTGGTAAATAAGACGGTGAACAATTCTGCCATTTTTCCTGGGTTCGCTGGTGGCTTGTAGTTCCTTCCTCTTTAAGACGCGGCAGCAGGTGTGTAATCATGTGACTCCGTCAATCCAGTCAGAAGCATAAACAAAGAGAAGGGCGGATGAGCCCAGTGAAAAATCGTCTAACTTAATTTAATTTTTTTCAAATTAAGATGAGTGGGTCGGTTTCATGTTTTTCAATTTGCATGTTTCCAAGCAATACAAGGCCTTGTCTATATAAAGACTCAAACTCACTGCGGATCCAGACATTTGAATTGAGAAAGTTTCCTGGAGGGGAAGCGAAACGTCTTCAAACTTTGGAAACCAAGTCCACTGGATTGTTTTTAAACTTTTATGGAATAACTATGACCTGGATGACTGAGAATGTTCATCTGCAGTTGTTTATTAAATTTCATCAGTTAATCCTGTGGAGCCGAGCGAGAGAAGAGATGAAGCCGAGCGTGCAGAGAAGGAGTCAAGAGCACGTTGTCAGAGCTGAGTGTGCGGCAGACCTGTTTTGAGTGAATGTGTGCGATGCTCATTGTTCTCACTACACGTTCAGTTCAGTGGCACCAAAATTACGCCATAGATGTTTAGCAAAGGAACACGAAAAGTAAAGTTGGGCTGAAAACTGTCAGACCCAAAGTAGCACATCCAACCTCTACCACCACCTACAGCGCAACCGGGCAGTTGAGTTCAAAGATGTGCAAAAGCCTCGGTTACCTTTGCACAAAAACATTTGCAAGAGAGGAAACATTTTTCTCCTGTTCAATGAAACATTGTTGAATGTTTAAACCTGAATGGGTGCAAGCCTTTAATAGTTAAATGAAAGTAATATTTAATGTTATAAATAAATTATAAATATATCAGTTGCATTTCCTGCACATGCCGTTATTTCTGATAGAGGAGCTGAAGCATTTATTATGGAGGCTAGGTGGAAGTTCAACTGAAGAAACTGATTGCTCTCTTACATCCACCTGCAACACAGCTAATGCACTGTCTGCTCCTGTGTGCAGGCGGTGGATGTACTGTGTGACTTCATTCAAATGACCCCGTTTCAACCCACCCCCAGCCCCTCCTCCACCATCATAACTAAAGTGTCATTACTCCCGCACTCTTCCTGCATTCCACGTCTAATTTTAACCATTCCGGCAGAGGACCGCCATGTTGAGTCTGGTTCTGCCAGAGGTTTCTTCCCAACGGGGAATTTTTCCTCTCCACTGTCGCTTCATGCTTGCTCATCATGGACAGGTTCTCTCAACCTGTGTTATCCAAACTGGACTTCCATCTTCCAGGTCCCTGAGTGAAGCTCTAGTATCAGCTCCCGCAGTCCACTGGATCTCCCCATAAAGCTCAGCAGACCGTCTTGCTAACCAGCAGTTTCAGGCCTGGGGGGTGGGGGGGAACAGCACTATTCTTTGCTCTGTTCATGCATATCTATCAAAATTAAGCGCTATGTTTCCTGCTGAGGTCTGAGCACGAAAGACAAAGTAATTGTATCAATAAATTTCTTCTAATTGTCTTTTCTCTTTGTGTGAGTTTTTGTTATTGAGGTAAAACTAGCCAATTTACTACGACATTGATATGAGGTCATATCGCCCAGCCCTAGCTCTAAATGGACCTGCTTGACCAACTCTCAACACCAACAATAATGTTTTATCTGGCTTTATGAGTACTGATCTATTTTAGGCTGTTTATTTGGGCTCCTTGCTGCTCACAATGTGGTACGTGTTTAATGCAATCAGCTGTTAAGAGGTGTTCAAGCAGCTTGATGAAGCTCTTCCTACTGATTTTAGGGCAGAAACACAGTTAAACTGAGCGTCTTTCTTCTGGCCTGGAAAATCAAAACCAGTAATAATGATTGATATTTCATCAGGCTAAAGCCAGTATTGACTCTAAGGTTGACTTTGAATACTATAAAAAGCAGATATAGGATCTAAAATACATTTTAAGGCCTAAAATGTTGACATTAAGTTTCCTGCAGATTAACTGTCAATAAAAGGAAAAACTGAAAGTACCAGTTCTTTGTGTGAACTAAAGGAATCAGAGCGTGTGTGTTTTACCGTAGGGCGCCCGACCGGCCAGCGGGTTGAGCTGCGGCGTGGGATTCGAATTTCCGTCTCTCCGGCTCCGGTCCGCCAGTGCCGGGAAGTCTGACAGATCCAACCCCGTCACATTCTCACTGCCGTCTGGAGGAAGCGTGACGACAAACAGCCGTTATTCTGTGGGATTTTCAAACCTGAAATGTTCTCCGTCGGGACTTCGGCCTTCGCACCTGTGCCGTTGAAGATGTTGCTGGTTAAGGACTCTCTCATGTTGAAGCCTGGATTCCTGTTCAGTATTAAAGTCAAAGTCAGTTTGTTTGGTTTCGCTGATCTGAGGTGTGGTTCTTTTTTACTCCACTTCATGGTTACCTGTGGTAGCCAGTGGGCGGGGCTAAGACTGCTCTGGATAATCACAGTTTAAAATATAAAACTAATAAACATTTACACAGAATTTTTGCTCATAATAACTTGTAGTTGTTGATTTATACTTTTAGATATTCTTTTATAAACATTTGATCATTTAACGTTCTTTATAAACAATTTTATTTCAATTAAGTTGTATAAATGAAATTATTCTCGTAAATAATTTTTGTCTCCTTATATCCAGCAGGGAAATAGATGCTGGAATCATAGTCCATAAATCTGAGCAGCTTTATTTAAACTTTATCATCCTGTTCCCAGATCAGCCCAGAACTTCTGGTCATGGAGGATGAGGTGGAAACCGAACTATAAGGGCGAGATGTTTTGTTTTCTCCTCACCTGTTGAAGGAGAACGGCTGCCGCGCCTGCTGCTGTTTGGGCATGCCGATGATGCTCGGAGACGACCGGCTGGGACTCCCCATGGTGCCGCTCCTCCCCCCGCCGCCTCCCCTCTCTCCTCCCCCACCTCCTAACCCGCTCGTCTGCCCCGTTGGTCCGCCGACCTGCTGGTTGTGGTTCAGCACGCTCCGGCTACTTATGGGCATGATGGACCCCCTGCAGAAGCAGAAAACACAGGTTAAGAACTCATATTCCTGGACAGAGAAGGAATCGGTCATAACCTGAAGGAAGGCAGCTGGTTTCTAAGATTATCTTAGATCCTTTATGATAATATGGATCATACAGTAACTAATAACTTCCCTAACATTGTGCTGACTTAATTCAGCACATTGATTAAACTGTGTATCAGGTGTTAGAATCTGCTAGACCTAAAAATGATCTCGCTCTCTCTAAAAAAACAAAACTATTTAAGGTCAGATCGCCATACGCTTTAAAAAACACCAAAAACTAAGTAATTAAATAGTATTTTTTTACATGACTGAAGGGATACACGCACACTGAGGTAGTTTAAAGTCTTTTTTTCGTACAAAAATAAAGGGATAAACTGACGGTATAAATGGGTATTGATTATAGGTATGCTGGTCTGACAGAACATCAGTCTGAACGCAAATCATCCTGTAAACATTTACCCCTCCTCTCTCCTACAGCTGCAGCTACAGGTACTGTGGATCTCTCAGTTCAGTTCAGCTGCACCCTGAATACCAGTCAGTGACAAACACTGTTACTACAGACCATAACTTACGGTAAAACACTGGAAATGTGTTTTAAAATTAAACAGCTCTTATTTAAAAATAATTATAAAATGATAAACATTTATATTGAAGTGTTTATCAGCCCCAGGAGGAAAAAATGTGATTTCCATTATTAGATTTATTTTCTACACTGGAACTAGAATATTCTACCAGTGAGTAGAAGTTAAACCAGGATATAGTTCAGATATCTAACAGTTCATGTTTTATTTATTTCAATGTTTTACTGTTTTCAGTGTTTACTGGGCAATTTTTCACCATATTTGCAGAAAATGTCTTTTTATTTTCTTTCAAACATCTTCACAGCATCCTGTTTTTTCCCCCCCTTTTGTGTTGTTTGGAAGTTGAAGAACTTTTAGCTTTTCTGTGGAGATTTACTCCTTAATTTTTTGTTCTGCATTTAGACCTTAAATTTCACCATTTAATGTTAACTTTTTACCTGATCAATGACCAACATTTCTGTATTTTTTAAGCTAAATGTAGGAATTTTAAAGGAGAGAGATTAATGCCAGAGAAAAGTTCATTCTGAACCGTTCCGGTCATGGCAGAACTAAAGTTTCTTGTTGTTTTACTACCTGCTATTATCTCTGTTTGCTTTTATTTTTCTTCTTTTTTATAGTTTAATTCACATAAGGCACTTTGAATTGTCCTTTTGCTGCATTGTGTTACCAATTAACTAGCTGTGCTTTGCCTAAGAGACTGAAATATAAAACTAATGCAGAGTCTGCAAACTCTAACAAGCATTCTTAACTGAATTGGAGCCATAAATCCGCAGAGGCAGCCAGGATTAGTTCAATATTTTGCTGCTATCTAATTAAATAAATGCAATGAGAAATGAGAAAAGAAGCTGGAAGCACATCAGGAAATGTTTTCAGGGTTTCTAGTTAAAGGAGGCAAACCTGCTGGGTGAGGGGGGCGTGTGCAGCTGTCCAGAGTTGGGAGTACTGGTGTGACCAGAGAGCTGGCTGGCAGGCTGGTTCAGCGAGCTTCGACTTAGCGGTGCAGCTGCGCTGCTGTTGATCCCGCGCAGAGGGAAGCCCAGAGCACCTGCAGCCGGAGGGACAGAGGAAAAGACGACAGAAACAGAGAAGAAAAGCTTGGTTTATAAGCAAAGGAAACTTTCTGTGTTTATCTGAGCTGAGCTTCAGAGAGATTGAACTTTGAGATTGTTTTAACAATATTTTAGAAAGAAGCTTTCAATTTCCAGGCAGACTTTGTTCAGCAAAGAGTTTATTAATGCCTCCATAGGTTGCCAGTCTTGTAGATCTCCATCAGAGGAGTGATGTAACTACTGACATTTACATTAGCTACATTTTGAAAAGAAATGCATTTTGATAAGTATGGTACACTAAAACTACTCTACTTTCCTTTATATTTTTGTGAGGAAACTCCTCGTACTTTAGTCATGTTTCTGGCTCCTCTGAGTAACTGAAGCTATTTGGACATCAAACAGTCAACCTTTGCTATTTTAGTGGAAGTTTTTTACTCTGTCATAACATATTGTGTACTCCTTAACATTAGAACTACCAAGGCCGCCATTTTGACAGTTTTGAGATTTGAAAGTGAAATAACTTTATTTGCATTAATCATATGTTGCTCATGTTAACTGACTTTTCCTGTTTCTATATTTCCTTCATTTTCATGTAGTTTTTTAAATAAAATAAAAACAAAAAAAGAAATATGGTTAATCTTACCTCAATCTCCCACAGCCATACTTTTGACGGCTTTATTAGTCGGATTTTAAAATCTTCCCGCGGTATGGTTGCCTAGCAACAAACATTCTACCTAGAACTCTTTGGCTAATATGGAAAAATGGCTTTCAGAAGAAATTTAACCGCTAAACAGACTTAAGAAATGCTTTAAAATATTGATGATAGCGATTCTGGCGGGGAGGGAGAGACGGATGAGGAGGACTGGGTAGGAGGCGGCTCAGATTCTGACAGCGAGTCCAAGGATGATCACCCATGCACAGGAAAATGCAAACGTATCAGTGACCCATCAGACAATAGTGAAACTTTTGTTCAAGGTTTGGAACCTCAGCCGGTACACCAAACCAGAGCCGTGGTTTACTATAACCGCACACAGGTCGGCGTTGGATGTGTCGGATCAGATGATTAGAAAGTATTATGTAAAAGCTCCAAGGAGAACGTGGCCTGTGGCTGCATTTTACGACCAGCTGGACATAGCAGCTATAAACGCGTTGGTTTTGTTCGGGAGATGTTTGAACGTCACCGTCTCACGCAGAGATTTTATCCTTGAACTGATAAAACCACAAGCGCTCCGCAGGTTACCAGCCCCTCCACCGCTGAAGAGCAGCTTTGGCGAGGCCAAGAAAACAGCGGCAGGTGCTTCAACGCTGCACAAAAAAACACTCGTATGATGTTTGTCACAAATGTGAAAAGGTGGTGTGCAGGAAATGTACGGGGGGGTAAATCAATTTCTGCAGTGGATAAAGTAGCCACTGCAGACACAGACATTAGCAGACTCTGCTCCTCCAGATCACAGGAGGGTTTACAATTTTTTTTTCTGTTTTTCTGTTGACTTACATATTTCATTAAAATTATGTGTGTGTAAATAAACATGTATGCATATGTGGGAATGTGTATTTATATATTATTTTTTTCTTTCTTGGAGGACTGTTTAAGTTTGTTTTGTCATTTAAAATCAATGTCAAAGAAAAACTGTTGGGGTGGAAATGACTTTAGGAAGAATAGATGTACTTGTTTTAATTAGTGGAGATCAAAATAAATAGATATGAATACAAATATCGGAGCCTTTAGCACTTGTGAACATGTGTTTTATCAGCTCACAGGTTCGTCTAGGGCGGGCAGCATTATTGGGTCATTTAAAGCACCTTGACAGGATTAATTAAGCCCTGACTGGAACAGAAGTGGAAACCTTTGAGCAGAAATAAATGTGGGTGTTGATCTTACTCTGTGGGGCGTATAAGCTGGCTCCCAGCTGTGACAGCTGACTCGTTGAGGAGGAAGACGACAGCATCTGAACACAGGAAGCACAAACATAAGTCCACCATCTTCCTCCAGTTAAATCGCTCCACGTGAAACACTGAACAACGAGTTACTGTTGGATGCATCCTGACCACAATGAGCAGAAACACACTTTTCCCTTTTTATAGTTTTCAAGTTTTTTTTGTTGTGTTTCAAAGCCACCAAACAAGATTCAGAGGAAAAGCTAACATTTTCTTCAGTTTTAAATGTGCTGAAGGTGTTTGCTGTAAATTCAGAGCCTCGCTGGTATTAAAGGGAGATTTTACTCATTTTTAAAAAGATGAAAGCATTCGATGAGGTTTTTATTTAACAAACCAGGACATTGTATGTAACTGAGAAAAATCTGAAAAGTGTGGCATGGGTTTCTATGTCACTCCCTCAGCTAATCAATCAGAATCACCATCATTAAACTCAACCCAATGGATCTGTAAACATTTTTGTTTGGCCACAGGTTTGATTTGTTCCTCTGCCTTTCAGATGAATCAGCTCTGATCTAAACCACCTCTGGTTGTCCTGCAGGAAGGTTCAGCTTCCTGCAGCCTCATCCTGACCTTTTGACTGCATGATTCTGCTTCTTCACTAATGTTCTCCCAAAAACTACTGACGGCTTCACAGAGCAGCTGCGTTTATACTGACATCTGATCTCACGCTTTATTTACTACTGACGAAGCTTCCTGATGGAATTAGGTGCACTGGATTAAGAATAGATGAAGCCAAACAGAAATCAGCCACACTCTTCAGATTGAGTTTGTAAAAAAATAAAAATAAGAAAACAGGTTTCATTTTACTTCATATTTATTCCTTACTTGACAGAAAAATCACCAACTAAAACACTGATTTTCTCTGGTCTGTAAAATCAGCCCCTGAAATCGGATGCTCTGAGGCGGTGATGCTGCCGCCGAGTTACAGACTTACATCTTTGTCGGCTCGATGAGGAGCGAACATGGACGTGTGGCCATAGTAGAGGCCGGAGTCGTCCGAAGCGTACTCGCTCTCGATCCCCCCCTCCATAAACTTCTTCCGGGTAGCACCAAACATTCCGCGTGTCACCTGGGAGATAATTAGAGAGATGGTCAGGTCACATTAGCGCAGCTCCGATCACGCATCGGATTCATGACAGACGGGATAAATGACGTTCCTTTCAGGTTCTACTGTCTGTGGCTCAATGTTTCACATTCCTGCAGGTAAAAGGAAGAACCCGGACAGTTCAGAGCATAACAGACCCATGAAGCTCCCGGTTCTCAAGACTTTAACAGACGTGTAGATGATCAAAGTAGCACTTTTCTAAATGTATTAAATATGCACACCACTGCTGATAATCATTCCTCAATACAAAATATGAATAAACTGTTCTTTTGAACCTTTGCACCTTTTAAAAGGTGGTGCAGATGTGCTCAAGTGCTTCTGGGAACCAGGGCTTGTTGCAGATATCAGCTCAGATCAGCTGGTAGATCAGGTGTTAAAGATGAAAATTTACAGTGTTTAACCCCGATACCGCTCTGTAATGCAATTAGGAAAATGTTTTGCTTAGAGATAATAAAACATTAATGTTACGTCATTTTTAAGTTTTGTTTAAAAAACGCAAATAAAAAAGGACTAATTTTATATATCACAACCAATTGAAGGAACTCAGTGTAACATTTAGTCACTAGGGGCGCTAGAGCCTTTAACTTCAAAGTAAATCGTCGCAAAAGTGGTTTGTTTTTCCTTATTCCTATTGCTTCCAACGCATCACTTATATTGGTGATCAGATGAAGCAAGCACTGACGTTGAGTTTTTGGTGTTTAAGATGCTGTGTGTGTGAGGAAAATTCGGAGAAGCTTTCTTAGCAACAGCAGGCTAACTTGGTGTCTGGATACTCAACTGCCTCGGTTTGAAAAGGACCCAGTCTGCCGCCGGCGTCCAGGTCATTTTCTGTGATATATCTGTCCAGGTTGATAACTCAGAATGCCGTAAAGCGTAATTCTGGGTCAAATGATACATTCTGGGTTTCAGCTTATAGGCTTCACCTTCATATCTACCTAAATAATCCTTTAATAGATCTTAAACTAAGATCATACTTAGATAAGAAGTTATATAGTCTTTCTTTAAAGCTCCTAAAATCAGGCAGACTTGGACTTTGAGTTTTTAGAGCCACTAAAAGGGATTATCTTTTCCAGGATCCACCTTTACAGCTGATTCTGGACCCCCTGGAGCAGGTGGACATCACCATTCACCAATTAAAGCTTTAGAAAATAATTATGAAAATGGAAGTGTTATGTAAAGCTTCTCTGCTTTTGTCTTTTTCACCAAATTACGAAATCATAGCGTTTATCTTAACATCTTTGCCAAAATTTTTGTTCCCGAAAGAGAAAACGACTAAGGTTTGTCCATCTTACAGGTTCAAAATGTGCTTTTACACTGAAATACTATTTAAAAACCACAACAATGGTGTGTTAAAATCCCACAGAAAATTACCCTAACATCAATTATGTATCCGGGCTAGGTTGGACCAAATAGCTTTTCTTAATGTCTATCATTTAGTGCAAAGAGGATTTAAAACTGTCGCTCAGAGATTAAACTGTCGCTGATGCCCAAAGGGTGAGACCTGTAGTAATCAAAACAAGCAGAATATTTAACACACTTCGGATTGAATAATGTTGTTTTCAATAACAATGTACATTTACACACTTTGCAAAGACTTAAAACGAGATAAACGAGATAAAATAAATAATAAAATAATTAATAAAGTCAAGTCTAAGTCTAAGTCTGAGATCTTATCCAGCAAAGTCATTCTGGTTGATCCACAATGAAAAGGCTGCAGAGTTGAAGCAGGCAAAAACAGGTTTTGTAGATGCAAACAAACTGGATCCGTCCTGCCTTCTTCTGCATTATATAGATCCTTTTAATTAACTGACATATGCGAAGATTCATATCTTCTCTATCTGTACCTAAAACAGCCAATTCTAGTTATAATAAACGAATTACCATCTAATGGAGATCAGCAGTCTATTAAACACGAGCATTCTACTCACAACAGATTTACCCTCAGATGTTAAAACACAATAGGAATAAAAATGTCCAGAAGATCAGTCCCCTCTCCATCACTGCTACTTCCTTTTGTTTAACACAATTAGTTACACAGCAAGCATCACCAGCGACAAAGAGGAATAAACTCAGTCTGATTTAGGAAAATATAATTACTATTTAACCACTGTTTACTAAGCTAACTCATTTAAATCCTGCAGCATTAGTTATGGAAGCAGGTATATGAGTTTAAAAGCCAGGACGGTTAGCACGTAGCTGTAAGATAGCCATGCATGCTAATGCTAGCGCGAGGACTAGATTGTTTTCATATTTATATGCATGTATACATTTCCACAACACTCGGGGTATTAGTTTGTTTGTCGTTTAGGTGATAATATAAGCTGCTTACATAAGTCTGCGTTAAAGTTTTAAACAGTACTCATAGCTGTAGCTAACCACCGCCAGCTAACAGCTAAATCCATAGAAAGCGCTGGGTTGTTAGCATATGAGCTAACAGCTAGCTAGAACGCACAACCAGAACAGAATCGTTAAAACGTTTTTAATGTTTTTACTCCAATCTGTTAGGTCGGGTTCAATTGTTATCAACTCGTGGACTGTTAAGAAACAAATAAAAGCGGTATAAAATAGTGTTTATGTCCATTTAAATGTGGAGGCCTGCTGCGCCTCCGTCAACTACTTCCCCCAAAACAACAACAAAAACCAACCGACTGCTGGCTTTAAAGCTCCTTTTCACCACGTTTTTCCTCGCTGCGCGGATCACATAATCACGGACACGCGTGGAGTGTCCGTTTACGCGGAATTGAGGAGACTAGGAACTTAAACGATAATTTAAACCGGGAAACAAAACAGAAAAAGGAGCTCACCGCATCAATCTGTCCTCCCACTACAAGATGGCCGACAGGATGCTGAGATGCTGACCTCTGAGGGCCATCATTCTCTTTTAGATTAAACTAATCAGTTTGGGTTTATGAAAATGTTTGTTAATTAAATTATTCTATAACTTACTGTTATCATTTTAGATTTATTAGAATGGTTGTGGTTTATTAAGTTATGTTTAGGTTTACTGGAATCAGTCAAGGATCATGTTCACATACAATCGTTATACTAAAGTGTAATCAAAAGGGATTTATTTTATGTAATCTTTGTAAAAGCTATTCCATAAATACCTTAGGCTGGGACCTGACCTTTTTTTTTGTGTTTTTCTTTTTTTTTTTGTATGGATTGGATGGATGGATTACTTCAGATTGCAATCATTGGGCATAATACAGAGGTTTAAAAGATGTAATTTATGCCACTAGCATGGCTACCCAAACATGTGAAGTCATACAGTAAGTAGTAGAAAAACTCTGACAATGCCACTGCAATGTACTTTGCTTTATGTTTCTAATTGT